GGCCGTTTAATAAGCAAATGGTGCATACGACGCGATCTTTTAAAAAAAAATTTAAGGAAAAAGGGCCCAATTTTTTTTTTTTTTTGGCCTAGAGTCCTATAAAAATTTGAGACGGTAAATATATAATGATCTTAAAGGGTGATTCTGAAGTACCTTGCTACTCATAACAAGTAAGTCCTCTCCTTTCACATTCTTCCAAGAAGCCACTTGACCTCCATACAAATAAACCTGAATTCTCAGACAAACAAAAAAATTGAATGAAAACAGTTCGGACCTTTGAGTCTAGGCAACATAAATGACAAGACTTTATAGATAAACTATATCCAATAAAAGATGAGTTGAATTGAAACCAATTTTCTGCAGTAAGTCAAACCTTAGGAATTTTTAAAACTTTGTAGCCTAATAGAAACAAACATGATTCACAGATTTCCAAAACATGCATGCACTAACATGCACGGTTCTGGTTCTGCCGTATATTCAGGCAAGAAGAGTACCTCGACGGAACCACCGCGACCGTCGCGTACGATGATCTTGTCGAGACCATTGATGCCCTTAGTCCGCTCAAAGGGACTATGCTCGGTGGCCACGAGGACTAATGTAACCAGCAGAGCCCATAAGAAGATCAGATATCCGAGATTATTCCCCGTCATCATCTTTCACTATTTCACTCACGAAGAATAATATTATTGAAAAATTTCTCTTCTTTTATTCCATAAATACGCCAAATTAATGGAAGAAAAAATAGTCAACGATGCAGCCTAAAAAGAGGAAATGTAACGTTACAATTCCAATAATTTGATTTAGAAAAGACTTTACTTGCTTACCAATAAGAGGAAAAAGGTCTTATTTTGTCACCTCCTAATCTCCTATGAATTCAACGGTGGCGATAACGCCGGCGAGCATGTCAAATAATAACCCTTATTTCCAAATCCAATTTTGGAAGAATTCATTTCCTTGACTTGCATATCTCATTCCACAATTAAGTGACACTACTCATTACTATATTTGGATTATAATCTTTTTTTTGTCCCAATCTTTTTTTTGTTTACAAATAATCTCTTACTAGATTTTGACCCACGCCAAGCGTGGGATTAAATATTGAAATATATTTTCTAATCGATCTTAATATTTAGATGTGTATTCTAATATTTATGAACGTACAAAATGATATGTATTGTGCATAAATGTAATAAAATCAATTTTTTACTAAACATATTTCAATATCATATTCTTTGATCTATTTTGCATAAAATATTAAAACTAATGCAAATGTTATTTATTTAAGTTTATTTGAAGTGCCAAATTGAGTTTTATTATTTGTGTACATAGTAGAGTATGCGATAAATAAAATAAATTTTAGATTTATGTAAATTTATCGGACGTAACAAACAAAAAATATATGTTTTCTAATAATAAAATGTAAAATTATTTGTAAGTGTAGTTATCATCTACAAATATAATAATAAAAAGCATTTTAATATATATCAGTTTTTTTTTAAATAGATGATATAGTAAGTCTAAATATTACATTTAGTTAAACTTAACTCTGTAAAATATATATTAATGGGTTTATGTTATAAATTAATAAAAACATATAGAGATTTCCACCATAACATATAGTTTTAAAAAAAAAATTTATTAGTTAATTTAAATGACATATTTCTTAAAACCCTCATTGAATAATACATATGATTTTTTCACCAAATGTCTGTTCAATTAATATATAGAGGATTAGTGTCATTTTAAAGAAAWTTTCAAAATGATGACATTTTTGAAAAGTGGTATTTTTAAAAAATTATTTGCATTTAGTCTAAGTATCATGCAAATTAAATTTTGTAAGATAAAATATATTTATCTATACTAGAGATATATCTTTGTTATTTTTAATTTTTCCCGTATATAAAAAATCATGAATTTTTTTTAATATGCTAATCCCGTATTTAACGCATGTAAAAAAAATCTAATAGTCATTGAAAAAAATATATATTCTCACATATACTTCATGTCAATTAAATAAAATCTTCCATATTAATTACCACATATTCTTTGCTTCCATATTTGTTTAATAATTATATTTTATATGTGATATAAATTTAGTCTAATTATTTACACAATAATATTTTTAAGAAATTTTAATTGCTTTCCTTAAAAGTTCCTTAAAACCCTCTTTGGATGACACATATGATTTTCACTTAGTGTCTCCTCTATTAATATATAGAGGATGAGTACGTATATATTTTTGTTTATATGTTGAGTAATTGGAGTCTATAGTAAATGTTTAACGCATATTTAAGAAAATAACTAAACCTATTAAAAACAGATATCTTTCTAACAGAGGTAAGAAAATTCTGATTCAGTCGGTCGCATCTACGTTAACAATGTATATAATGTCATGTTTCCGC